TTTACCCGAAAATTATTCTTGAACCGGCTTCAAGTTGCTCTGTGAATATATTCAGGGGCGTCTAAGAATCCGTAGAGACTTTATCTACATGAAAATGTAGATGAAGTCTCCACGGATTCTGAACACAACACAGGGATTCAGTGCATCCTTTGCTAGGAAAAATACCACGTCTCACCAAACTTTGAAAAGGCGAGAGGGTATGCCAGAGGGAACCTCAAGCATAAAGGCCTCCCGAAAAGTTTCACGCAGTGGAAACATTACCTTTTGCCCGTCAATAACTACAATGGGCCTTTTAAAATGAAGATTATCGCCGAACACAGTAAATTCCTGGTCTATAAATTTTTGAGGAGTAACGCTGTCTACCCGTTTTGTGCAAGGGAGCCCAAGAGAAGCGTCAATGTGAACCACCGCAGTATTGAGAGAGTGCAGCTGCAGATAGCAACCGCAGCATTTGAAGGAGCAATGAAGAAGGAGGTATGTCACCTTGTGCCCTCGAACGGCTACCAGCAAGAGGATGTTCAGGGTGGTTTCTTGCGAAAAGAACAACAAGAAACTTTGAGTTATGTGAATCTCAGAATCAGAGCTGGCGAATGCACTTTCAAAGCCCTTCTGGACTGATGCTACGGCCCACACTGAAACTGATATTGCGGTAGCGAGCGATGCTTGGTCCTGCTGACTCAAGCAGCACAGTTAGCCTGCTGAATATCCGCGGCTTTCCACGAGGCACTGTGTGCTGTCAGCTGATACCGGTTGTGAAGGCCCCAAAAGTGCATGGAAGCTCACGCCGCTTGCTACCTTTGCGGCTTCAGTGTGAGATTCTGATCTACTGAGCATGAGAGCGAGCATTGCGTGCAATTTGCTATTTGCCAAAGCTACCAGTAGACTCCGAGATAGGATGTGGCGCATTGCGTGCTCTGAGAAACAGCAGTTCGGCTAGCTACTGTGCCCCGCATAATCAACCTCGGTTTTGGCACTAAGGGGATCAACCTATTCTGTCCTATTGAGTTCCTTGTGCCCCCTATTATCTTTCAAAGCACTTTCGACTTCGGCATCAAAGAGTGTCGATCGACGAAGATGTGACGGCCCAAGGAGAAACAAGCCCCCCCAAGAGTGCACGGCGTTCAATGTGACGGTCTGCTTTATCACGGCAAGCAGTTATGTGCGTCTGGGAAGCAAAGTCACAGAGTCTGTCATTTCGCGGCACCTTCCCCTGCTTAGTTTTTTTCTGCTGCAGAGCCAAGCATTTCCTCAGCATTGCTCCAACCAGTGAATGCGACGTTTCCATAGCCATTTTTTTTCGTAATGCTAATACTTCCACTTCCTCGTGCACAGCAATAAGCTTGCTGCAAAACGCACTGAACAGGAGGTTTAAAGCACTTGAAAGCGAATTCATAGCAGAAACTTAGTGCAGAGTCAGCTGAAAGGGCGTTCCTGGCTTCCCTTAAGGATTAGTGTAGCAGTAGAGGATCGGAACTCTGCCGATTTCCAGCGAAACGTTGCCATCCAGAAACCCTCGGGATTTGAACCCCAGAGCCGACGTGGAAAAAGGCATTCGGAAGCTTTTTTACACATAAGGGTTTCAGGGTTTCAGGGAAGCCGTTGAGGTAATGATAGAAACCCTCAGTTTCTACAAGGACACAAGAAGCCCTCATGGGGGAAGTTGACACTAATTCCTCCCGAAATGAAAAACGTTGCAGCCGCGGAATTATCCTTAATCCTCGAAGCTTGCTGCCCACTTCAGCTGTATGGGGATGAGAAGATGGATGCAGGCGAGAACACTGGGATATGCGATATAAACTCGAGTGAATACCTGTCGAAACTGCCTGCACGTCCAAGAGACTGGATGCAGGCGAGAACATTGGGATATGGGATATGTGTCTAAAGTCGAGCGAATACCTCTAGAAACTGCCTGCACGTCCGAGAGAGAGCAATGGAACGCGATGTCCACTTCCACTTGAAAATGTAACTAGCACTGCCTCTAAAAGTCGGACTACGATATACCCAGCAATTTGCAACACCGCACCACCAACAGCAAGAAGGCTTTCACGGTGTGTATATATCACGAGGCACTTGCATCATATATTTATTCTACTACAACATCACACCCAAAGAGCTTCTGGCGTTGCCGAAAGCGCAAGGAAATCCGACATGAGAATTTTTAAGCAACTGCGTGGCTAGTCGATGTGCTGTGTTCCACTAGAAACCTTATTTTCAAGAGATATCCTCTCCCAGTCGACTACCCAGACATATTAATGGGATCTATATGAACATTCCTGAAGCAACTCCCCTTGAATTCTGTTTTCATAGATGCTTCTCGAAGTGCTCAGTAGCGGCATTTTGCTTTATAGTGGCCTCCTATGAAATGGGCTCCTCCCATTACTAAATTAGCTGGACCGCTGATGTAAACTTGCAAATCATCGTCCCCAAAGGCTCATGCTTTGTCAATATTTGAAATGAAAGCTGTGCAGATGCGCAGGGCATCTCAAGGACCTCATCGGCCCGTGCAGCTAAACCACTTTGGGCTTTGCCGCATCGAGTTCAACACTCTCAAATTCTGCCATTATCAATCTCTGCAAGCGTTCGCATGTGCAGTGACTGTCGAGTACTAACACAAGCACACATAATAAACACAGAATGCCCCACACGTTTTTTACCGCTAGATAATTAGGTGAAGCATGCGTGTGTGTGTATTTCACAATAACACACACTTGTCAAAAAATCCACAAGCTAGCCTTTTCGAAGCAAATGCTCCGTGATGAGATTAGTTTGCACAGCTCTTGAGCATAGGTAAATTCAGACAGCTCCATCATCGCATTACCATACAAAAAGTTGTGTATGCGCCAACTGCGAAAAAAATGGATTGAAAAGCAAATCAAAATTTTGAGAGCAATGTCGAGAAATAGAACTAAAAAATTCTGCAGAAGGCATACCACAAGCTGGCCTGCGCGCATTTGGCCACACAAATTGAACGTTTGGATGCTGGTTACAGACACATAAGCGCATCATTATTAACTGAAATAGTTTCAATAGTGTTCCCAAAGGTGACTGCTTCTCATGCAGTCTACAAAAAATAAAGGAACGACCAAAGAGACAAGCAGCCATACATAGGGAGAAGAGGGGAAATAGGCAGAACACTCAAAGACGAAATGCACAAGGTAGACAAGACAAACATAAATTTACAGCAACAACTATTCAAACACTCAAGAACTAAATTACTACTTTACTTGATTCTGGAAACACAAATTGACAAATCCGTAAAAGCAAGACCAACCCTAAAGTCTGCGGGAAATTCATTAACCACTTGCCGCGGGTCCCGCTAAGCTACTTGTTTCTCCCGACATTGCTTTGGCATTGCTGCCTTCTTTTAACAAGTACGCAAGCTGAATGAAAAAAAACAGCCGCATAGCTTACAAGTCTGTAGGTCTTCGACTGGAGTAAGAACAGTAAATGCTCCAGCGCCACTAATACAGCAGGACGCCTCCCTCAACGTCATGCTTTCCTTGTTTCCGTCTCTTTCTCTTCATCCCGAAATGTGTACCACGTAGAAATGTGCTTGCTTGTCCCTTTTAGTATTTATCATTCCTTGATGTCCAACATGCAGGTGTGTGTCTAACTGTCAACAGCCGTGTCTTTTTCGTCGCTCTAGTTGTTTCTCTGAAACTTTTCACCTCCCATTGTGTGCCAGCTTGACCGTATCTCCATTATGTTGTGTGTGCGCTCCGAAGAATGGTAAGCATGCCCCTGCCACATCTCTTTCCATTGCAAGTACCCGCCTCCCATGAAGATCGCCATGGTTCCGACGCGCCTTCCAGGCCTAACAGTTGATAGCTGTCAACGGCAACTGCCGCAGCTATGACTAAGCCTATTAGCGAGAATACGAAGCTAGAGACCTCTCAAACGTCTCGATGCCACTGCATGCACTGCTGCGGTGTGGGCTACTCATGCGCTCGGCGAGCTCAAGAGATCTTGTAGGCCACGCTGCCGGATTGCAGAGCCTTTGAGCAGCCTTCTAAGCATGAGTACAGATACAACGAGCCCCTCGACTAGCCTGAGAATATAGAGTAAAAGCACAATTTTTAATGTGGAAGGCCGTCCAGGAACGAGGCATTGCTGCTGCTGAACGACGCGGCACAGAAGCAACTTGCAGCCGTAGCAAGGAACGACACCAGCGCACAACAGCAGAAGCACAAACGAGGCAGCACAAAACGAAAATCGTTGCATCAGCAGCACTGCGTTGCGTATTTTCATCCGCCCCATGCCTACAAATTTACCGCGACCCCGAATTGTGCTGGCCTGTGAAGGCGCATAAGACTCGGCAGCGTGCACAGGCAAGCACCGGTGACAGCACCAAATGCAGCTCGATGAGCGAAAACAGAAGTTGCGGAGATAGTCAAAGCTGCCAGCAGTGCTGCTTTGGCCGGGCCAAGAGCAGCACTACCGCTAACAGCAAAGTGTAGCAAAACCAGGAACAGCAGCGGCGCTAGCCCTGGCAACGAAACAAGCAGCGGTTTCACTGTAGTGTGTGCGCTTAGTAGGGGCACTCGCAAAGCAGGACCATCAACAGAAACCGCAACAATAGCAGTATCACTAGCAAGAGGGGCATCAGCAGTATCGGCAATCGCAGAAGCAAGAACCCTGACCTTTCAGGAATATCCGACAAATGGGCACAAGGAGCCTAACATCAAGCGACTAGCTTGAGAAACAAAAGCAGAGGCCTGGAAGTGCAACAATGCGCTTGAGGAGAGCGGACAGAGGTTTTTTTGTATAATGAGAGGAGACAAGCACAGACAGGGAAAGCATTAGCGCGAAAATGACCGTCCGTGCACTTTTAACAATGTGCAGATAAAACTCACTGCTTCTGGCGTGTCTGGTGCCTCTAGGATTAAGCTCATTCTTCAAGAACCGTTCGCAGGGAGCCCTCTGGTGCTTAGCGTGATAAAAGGGACAGCTGGGACCTCTACAACAAGCGCCTGAAGTTAGAAGCAGCAGCGTCGGCAAAATCATCCACAGTACATGTCGCTGCAAAACCCAGCAGCAGGGACAAAAACGGCCATGACAACAAAGCAGTAGCAACCAGTTCGTCCCTGTAAGAGCAGCGGCAGCATAGCAAGGACTGCCAGCATTATCCACAAGAGCAGCAACAGCTTTACCCCTTCTGAAGGATCTGCAGTGGACAGTTTGGTTGGGCACCTGTCGACCCTGAGCAACACTTTCCATAGGATTGATGAAGTTCCAGGTAGCGCGGACTGCTGCTGTTGTTGCTGCAAGTGCTGATTGTGTTCTTGCGGTTCGTGCTGCTGCTGCAAATGCCACTTTTGGATGTGTTTCTATATCCGAAGTTTTGCCAGTGAAGTCTCTGGTGCTGCAGCTCTGATCATTTTCTGCTGGCAGGAGCCTGTTCCACTCCCGCAGAACTAAAGGAACAGCAAAGGAAGCATCATGTCTGACAGCTACAACTCTGTTCCGGTGCCCTCCTTCAGCAGGGCGTGCTGCGGTGTGCTGCGGTATAGCCGCTTGCGGATGTGCCATCTTAAAAGGCTGTAAACGCTTCCCGTGGAGTTCCTGCATATGTAACTGGGCAGACGCATCTCCGGGCCGCCGCCGGAACAGATGCTGCTCCCGTCCCTGCTGCTTGGTGGAGTTTCCAGGAGGTGCCGTCATCAAGACACTTGCCACGTGGAGGGGGCTCGGGGCTGAGTGTGTAGCGGTGGTGGCTGGCGCTGGTTCTCTACAGCTGCTGCGGCTGCACCGGCACCCCGGCCTTCCTACTGTTCTTGCTACCCGTTCTTTTTCGGGTGAACCGGAAACACGATCCCACGAGAGCTGCCCGGGAGAGAGCGGCAGCTGGTGAGATACTTGCTGCGGAAGCTTTGGCTGGTGTTCCGGGTATATCGGCGGTTCATGCCCGCTAGGGCGCTGCGGCCTCTGATGCAGATGCTGCTGCTGAAGCGGCGAGATCGTGCTTCTCCTTCTGCACTGCAACCGTTTCTTTAGTGCAGCAACTTGTGTCAGTAGGTCTAGTTCCTCAGAAGTAACAGCGCTAACACCGGCGGCTACGTCAGCGTAGGCAACATCAACTGCTATTACACATGTATTGTCTCCCCTTCTCTGACTTTCGTCAGTGTCCCTCGCATGCCGCAACTGTTGACTGCTGTGAGCTATGTGCTTGTATGTGTGGCTTTTGTTCTTTGTGGAGATGCGGTTGTGGTGTCTGGGACGAGACGGAGGGGTCGAGTCTGTGGAATCTGCACACCCCGTCTGCTGGCCGCTCTGCCTTCTGTAACGTACCATTTTCGATAAATGGACAGGGACTGGAGAAAAAAAAGATAAAAGAGAATGCAGCAAACCAAAGTCGGCAAACTCCAAGGCGCCCGCTAGCAGTCACAGCTCCAAGCGGGGCCCCGAGTACCAGTGCCATTGTTGGACATGGTCCAGCGCACGTTCCGAACATGAAGGCCAAGCACTGAACTGAGAACTTCGCAAACCCTAACTTAAGCGCCAAACCCTCAATTCCACTTTTCAGCATTAAAATAATGCTCACAACAGTCCGTTTGTCCGTTTTCATTTGTGTTCATCCAGTGAGATTAACAGCGACGCGCCCCGCCTTTCTAGATCGCATACCCCAAACGGGGAACCCTGGACGACGGACCCTAAACCTCTGACCGTAGAAAAGGACTCTGGGGTCGTTTGGTCCAGCGGATGAAGAAGTATTTCAAGAATTCGCTCAAGAGAGCCGTATTTGCTCCGTGGGGATTGCCCCTGGGAACCCCTGAGGCCCCGCCGGGGTGTACGTATATAGAACTGCCCGCTCCTGTAGGTTCGGGGTGGGGGGAGAACAAAGGACCAGCTTTTCAATTCCAGAAGCTTATTGCAGTTGAGGAAGCGGTCAATAAAGAGAGGCAGGGCTACCAGGACAAAATAAGAGCAGACAGCAGCAGGAACTACTGCGTTGTGTGTGAAAAAGAAGGTTTGTCGTACGTTGCTAATGCAAGCTGTAATCCCCTGTACCACAGAAAGAACACGGAGTCATAGTAGTGAAGCTCAAAACTGTAGATGGCAAGTTCCGGCCCGGCTGTCGCCGAGAGGATACTTCGGGTCGCCAGGATTATCGATCCATCATGTGGATAGGCGACGCTCTTGCCCTAGAGTTTAGGCGGGGCTGAGGCTGTGTTTGTGACGCAGTGGTTGCGGGTCAGGCTCTTCGTTGTCCTTCTTGCGGCGCGTCAGGAGCTACCTCCAGTGCCACCGGCGTCCACTCAGAAGGAAATGAGGCCGACGGCTTGCTGCCCGATGGGTTCAACCCCAATCGCCCCCCGTCGGAGCCAGAAGAAGGAAGTGCCCCAGGAGCCGCTGCGTCCGTGCCTGCGTGTGAGGGAGAGGACCCAGGTGTGCGTAACTCCCAGGAGGGTGGTGGTGGCGAGACCAGCCTCATCCACGAATTTGGGGCTGGTGTTGAAGTTGGCGGAGAAGAAGAGCCTGATGAACGGCCCGCAGTTTGGTGTCACCACAAGAACTGCAAAAACGATGCAGATGCAAAAGGTCTGCTCATTTGCACCAAGTGCCAGAGGGGTTTCCACGCGGGGTGAGCTCAGGTCTAGAGCAGTTCCCGTGGGACAGAGACACACACCAGACATCAATTCCCAGATTTACAGACACCACACGCTCGCTCGGTACCAGCGGCAGTGCATCGTAAGCACAGACTCGCAGAACAAGCGGACAATTGGAGAAGCTCGGGGTGCATCGTGCAGATTTGCCTGCCCAGCGCTGCGGTGCCTGTTTACCCCAAAGATGCCATTGCTGTTGACAGGCGCATGTTCACCGCAGAAGCGCCGCTTCGCACAAGAGGCGCCTGCACACCACACAGGCGCCTGCGCACTACAGAGGTGGATGTACACCTCAAAGGTGCCCACACACATCAGCGGTGCGTATTCACCGCAGATGCGCCTTTACACTTCACAGCCGCCCGCTCATACGAGAGATGCCCTTCTACTTGACGGGCGTCTCTACAGCCCAGGTATGCGTGCACACTTGAGAGCAGCCGGTTCGCGAGAGAGACGCCCTCATATCTCTGGGGAGCTTGTTCGCCTCGGGAATGCTGGCGCACCACAGAGATACGTATATTATCGGCAGGCGACTGCATACCCGAGAGGCAACTTTACGCCTCAGAGGTATCTGTACGCCGCAGACATGCCTGCACACCCAAGAGGTGACGGTGCACATGACAGGCGTATTGACACAACAGAGGTGCCCGCACACGGAGGTGCCCCAGCACCTCAGAGATTGCAGTCCACTAGACAGGCGCCAACTCGAGCAAGGGTTGCGTCTATCCCTTGTAGGTGGTTGTATGCTCGTCACATTCCTGTACGCAGTAGGGATGGCTCTGCGCTGCAGAGGTGCCTGTACACACGGTTTGTGGCCGTTCATTTTGAAGGTAGCAGTACACCGGTGAGTGACTGACCACGCAGCAATCTGGTGAACACCTCGGAGGTGAATGGATACCTCGGAGGTGATTGCACACTCGGTACGGGCGAGTGTGCTTCTTAGCGCCGGCACAGTAGAGAAGGGATTCCATACGTCAGGTACAGGCTTCCACTACAGCTTCCTGGACCCACGGGGACCCATCCAGTCTACAGGTGCTTGTCCAAGGGGAGGCGCGTGTTTACATCTACAAGGTGTCTTTACCTCTGAGGTCTTTGTTCATCCCAGAGGCGATTGGACACAAGACAGGTTCTTGTTCTTGTACACCGCGGAAGTGGCTGAACTCCGCGAGAGTGTTTGTAAACTACATAGGCGCATTTATACATCTGCGTTGTCGAGACACACCAAAAGTGATTTTACGCGTCAGAGTGCACTTACGTCGTAGAAAACATTTAAAAGTGCGGGAGGGCGTAAAGACGGTAGAATTTTTGGTAACAACAGAGGCGACTTTATCCGCCATAGGTTCGCGTACAGCTAAGTGGGTCACGTGCAACGGGGGATGTGTAGGCACCTGAAGTGTGTCTTTACAAGCCAAGACGCCGTGTGCATCCCAGGATTGCCTGGTTTTTTTACATGTGGCTGTATATGTCGGGGAGCCCGAAACATCGTTTTTCGTCCCTACTCTCCGTAGGTGTGTTTCGGCTCTGTGCAGATGCTGCGAACCGCCGCTGAACTTTGAGATGGTGACGCGTTTTCTTTGGCAGTGTGCAGACTGCAAGGTAAGGAAAAGAATAGAGGCTGAAAGGCACGAAGTGGAACAGAGGGACGAAAGGGAATACAGCGAGGCAAAGCTGAGTAAGGGGATGTTGCATGTGCTTTTTATAGTAATTGTTTATTCGTCAACCAAGGAGCGTAACTTTTATTTCTACGAAGAAGTTGACCGGCTTACTACCGGACCGGCTAATTTTTTCGTTTTTTTGACAGATGTGCGAGGTTTGCTTGTCTAACGAGAATGAAGAGACGATGCTCATCTGCGACGCTTGCGACAGAGCTTTTCACATGGAGTGCCTTTCCCCACCTGTTCAAGAGGTAAAAGCCAGCATTATTTGAAAATCCAATTGATTAGAGTATGAAGGGTTTGTTCTCGCCCTTACACAGGGTGATAGACAAATGAACAGACAAATACATGAAATGGTTCGCTTCTGCACGAAGAGATGCAGTGCCAGCCAACAAGAAGACAAACGACTGAGCATCTCCTTTGTTTTATCCATCGTGACCACCACTTCTGTCACTTGAGTTTTCTTCACTTGTCATACTCCAACGTGTCGCTGTGCTTCGCTAATTATTTGTAATGGATGGGCGTTTGTTTGGTTCCTGGCTTCTCGCTAGCCGTTAGGACGGCTGTGCTTTGCCTCTTCTCCAGTTCCCCCAATCTTCGGTTTGTCTGCGTCATCTTCTCGACTTTCTCGCCTCCTTCTCAGCCCAGTCTTTTGTCTATTCTATTGCTTGCTACTTGCCTGTGTCATTCTGTTTTGTTCGTCATTTTTTTGTCGTTTCGTGGGACTGTTGTCTGCGTCGCTGTTTGTGGCCGCCCACTTGTCCTTTCAGTGCTTGCTGCCCTTGTCGCTCTCTGTTTCCTTCAATTTGTGTCTGCCATGCTTGTCCCCCTTATTCTGCTGCACTCCCATACACCCCAGAAAATTCTTATGGACGGGGCTGATCACACTGCGATCATTCTACCGGCAATCCACCGGGAGCGTAACTCGTCCCCAGGTTAACTATTTCGCTGCTCAGGTGCCGGAAGGAGATTGGTTTTGCAAAGGTTGCGGCTACTGCAGCTCCTGCGCTGGCCAGCTCACTGAGGACGAAGCACTTGTAAGTCGTGGAATCAGGCTGAAAGGGCTAGACGTCCCGGTTTTGCTATCCCCCTGCGCGGCTGCTCTCAGCTGTTTATAGTTAACTGGCAACCGCTATTTGCGCTCACTTGTTGTTTGTAGCGTATTGTTTGTAGCCCAGCGTCTTCCGTCTGTGCCTGTGGTTTGCCTAGTATGGAATCATCATTGAATTCGAAAATTTGTTCTGTCCTTTGGAGGCTGAAATTAACAGGCTACAGCGCTTTCATGTATTCAGGATCCCAGTTGCTTTTACTCGAACCGTCACCGCATATGCGTAGCCTGCAAGGAGAAGTACTTGCGGGTAAAGAGGGGCAGGAGCCCCTACAGGAGCAACACAGCCTTTGACTCAGTATACGCTGCATGCAGCAAACGAAACAACCCTAACAAACTCTGTGAAGTCTGCGCCGCCCCTCTCGAATCCGACTCAAAAGGACCCCAAAAGAGGATCGTTTGCGCAGTGTGCAGAATTGGTAAACCCCCAACGCTGAAGAGCGTGCTTGTCGAGGCTTGCGTTAACGTGGAAATACCAGCCAAGCTTAAGACCCGCAACATTTGATGTTGCTAGCACTGCTGGAGTCGCCAATATACACACGAAATACTATTTAAAGAGTACAAAGCAACGGGCTGTGGCTTTAGGGATATGAATCACAGTGGGCTTTGGGCTGCTGTGACACGTAGGATTGGGTGCCTGCACCGTGCCTGATGGGCTTCGTGTGTCCTCTTTTGCAAAAGAGTTAAGATTCACTGTTTCCGAATTTATTTGCAGGGGTTCATGCGGAATGCTCAGTGGCCAGGCAGGCCCCAGATGAATACATCTGCAAGATTTGCAGCGACTTTATTGAAGACTTCCAGGCCGAGACAGACAGGAGCACAGCTGCCCACGCTCGACATCCCACACTTATGGCATTAGAAAATGTAGCAACTTAGGCTGTTTCGCTGTAGAACAAAGTTGAGAAAAGGCGTGCACCATTGGTGCTGCGTTTCGAGCACACGGAAGTGTACCACGTTTAAGGCTTGTGGCGACGGAAAGAGCCTGTGTGCTCTCTCTGTCTTGCATGAGACAAAAAAGTAGGTATTTATAACCATTAGATGGGCTTAAGGGTGCATCTGTGTCTAGTTAAGGTATGCATGCGTAGTTGAAGAGGCCCCTCCTGACCCTGTATTAGAGGCCCAGTCAGCAGCAAACAAAAGCACCAAAAACACCAAAGAGTGTAGCAGGGAGAAATACAGGAGAGCAAACACACGCGTAGCTCGAGAAGATAGCAGCATGCGACCCCATATCACAACAACCCGTTCCCCGACACCCAGCTGCTGCAGCTGCTGCTGCAGCTGTTGCTGCTGCTGCTGCTTTAATCTCTCTCGCCGGGACAATCCATCCTTAGGGCCTTCTAAAACGAGGAGGTTTGGTCCCGAGCCCCCCCGGGAATCGCAGGTAGACCTGTCCTTGGGACCTAAGATGCTTCGTGCAGTATCGGCGGCCGCACGCGCTACGCTATCTGCCACTGCAGCGACACCCCGTACAAATGCGGACGGGCCTCTCCTCTTGCGGGGTCCCCTGCCTTTGCCATCGCTTTCTCGTCTAGTTACCAGGGGGAGAGGCCCACTTTTGTCCGTCTCCTCACTGATTACCTCCCTGTCGCTGTCCTCCAAAATATCCACTGCGTACCCTCGTATACCTCCAGAAGTTGAGGATCCTGCTGGCCTCCACGGAGCCTCTTCAGGCCCCCCTCCCCCAGCCTCCAGGGCCTGGCCAAGCTGGTAGTTTTCCACTGCGAGAGCCTCCCGTCTCTCTTTCTCCTCGAGAGCGACAGAGCGCCACCTGTCCCTCTCCTGCAGCGCACTCAAACCCTAAACACACGCCCACCTTAGAATCCCCAGGACTAGTTTGGGGTTTTCACAATGAAAGCGAATCTTTATGGACCAGAGATCTGGATCTGACACAGTGCAAAGCAGCGCTGGCCTGGACTCAGGGCTTGCACTGCGCAAGTACCTTCTCCGTCTCCATGAGCTTGTTCTTGTACAGTTCCCGTTGCTCTACAACTATCTTGAACACTCCCTCCCCAACACCTTTGGGTTCGGCCTTTTGGCCTTCGTGCTCGGGACTTCCCTGGATTCCAGCTGTGGGGCCCCATGTCTCATGTTCAAGGAGAGATGACCCTGATGACTGTTTGGCTGGAGCTACATGGTGTGCGTGCTCCGTTACGTTAAGTGCTGCAAGCGTGGCGTTTGCAGCAGCTGCTGCTTCTTTCGCCGCCGCTGCTGCCTGGTGTGCAGCAGCTAGCTCTGCAGCAAGGCGTCTCTTGTCCTCTAGCAGGCTCTCGCACGCCCTCTGTGCCTCAGCCTCTTTTGCAGAAAGAGTGGAAGAAGCAGCTTGTAGGTGCGAGCGCAACTCCCGCACTTCATCCTTCACACAAAGCAGACACACATTGGTGCATAGGGTGGGGGTCTTGGGCTCCACAGAAGGGCAGGGTTGCAGCAGCAAACGAAAACAGGCGTGACCGGCAGAGCAAGCGGCCGCAACCGGAGCGCAATTCGATTCAGGATTAGCAGAAGCGGCAAGAACAGGTGGAACCTGAGCCGCTTTGACCACTGTGCTTCAAAGCGTAAGGCCTGGCTTACTGCAGTCGGCCTGGCTCGGAGTTCTGTCTCTAGTTGCTTCACTCTTAAACTCATCTCTTCGGCCTTCTTCGCAGCCTGTGCAGCGGCTGCCGCGTGAGCTTTCTCGGCATCCATGCGCCTGAAGTGTACGTACATGCCCAACACAACTCGGAAAATGCAACTCTGATCGCTAGCCTCAGCAACTAATAGCAACAACAGTGCGTGGAAGCGGCCGAAGTGGAACAAAATATTTTCGGGAAGCAGCGCCGGTAGTCCCTGTAGCAGTGCTAGTAATAGCAGCAGCAGCGACAGTACCAACTGCAGCAGCACTAACTGTTCCAGCAGCAGCCGCACTAGCAGCAGCAGCAGGCCATGGGTGGGTTCGTAGTTACAATTGCTGTTCTTTACGAATTTCTGCCTCGAGGCCCTTCTCTGCTGCTAAGAGCTGGCTGATTCGTTCTTGGGCAGTTTGGAGGGCTTTCTAAGAGGACCCAGGCACAAAAGATGGACACAAAATAAACGGCAGATGACGCTACCGGACTACCAAAAAGCAAGAGAAACAGCCAGCTGTACAGAACTCGGCAGCCACAAGTCCTTGTCTGTCTGTACTCCTTATCTCGCGCCTTTCTTATCTCGCGTGCTTGACTTATAGTTGGGTGTCTGTGTCTCACGAGTGTGCTTGCATCACTGCTGCTGCTCTGTGTCTGTCTGTCATTCTCGTGTTTCAGCCTCTTCTCTTCCAGCATTTCAACTTCTGAAAGAATGGCTCCACACTTCCGTTCCAGTTCATCTCGAGTCTGTACGTACACCGCAGCAGCTCAAGCGCAACAGGTGCCCTGTCAAAATATGAAGGCAATCGCGCAAACAAGCAAGTAAACAAACAAATGAACAGACACACGAGCAAACAAGTGAGCCGGCCAATACACAAACAAATGTACCATCGTGAGCAATGAAATAAGGGAATAGACAAGTATACATACGCACGTTCCTACTTATGCAACCACGTGAATCTGTATATATATGAGCATAGAAGTGCGCACATGAATACATCTGCATATCTACATCAAACATATACACGTATTACATATACATTCATAGTGCATATAAGACCAAACGTGCACACACTCGGCGGAAAGCGATGCAGAAGGGGAGCGACAATGCCAGACAGACGCAAAGAGGGACAGACAAAGGGATACAGAAGTAAAAAAGGCACCAAGCAAGACAACGCTGCAGATGGGGAGCTCACAACCCCATTTCGGAGAGCATTCCGGCTCTAACTGCTGCTATTCTTTTTCGTCTCACAGCAACAAACTGCTGCTGCTGCTGCAGCAGCCTTCCCTCCAGGCGTGCAATTTGCTGCTGCGCTGTCTGCAGCTGCTGCGCCATCTCCGCGTTTTCGCGCTGAAGATGTGAGTCCGCCTGAGCACCAAACGCCGCAGCAAATGCCCAAAACCCTTTGAGCCAACTCCAACGCTATCTTAGAGATTCTGTTTTGGCCTAACGGCTTAAGTAGATGGGAATTTCTGTTATCACAGGATGCACTTAGTTTGACTGCAGCTGCATCACCGCAACCGCAGCTGCTGCAGCCACTGCTGTTGTTCTTGCTGCTGCTGCTGACGCCACTGCTGCTCTTGGCGCCCATGTTGCTGCTGCTGGTGCCGCTGGTCCCCACCCTCTTGAGTTGGGCCATTTGCTCTCCCTTTGCCACCACTGCTTCAAGTTGCTGTTGAAAATTTTGCTGCTGCTGGTGCAGCTGCTGCTCAAGCATGCGCACTGTGACGGACTGGTCCCTCGCCCTACTTATTTCTTCCTCCAGCTCCTGCCACGCCCAGCACCCCAGACCTCGCTTTAGACGCATGCATATACTTAGCGCCGCATGCATATACTCAGCAAATTCCGCATTCTGTGCGTTCAAAGTGCATGCGCATGCATATCTAAACATGTCTGCACACGGAATGCCTGCACATTGCCTAGAGATTAGCACTCGGGCAGGCAGGTGCTGCCATATGTGCATGCAGCTATGGGAGCCTCATATACTACTTTTGCTACAAGGGTCGCTGCGGCTTATCCCCAACACATTCACTATGCTGTTTCGGGGGGCCCCCAAGCCCCTCTAGCGGGGGCCCCCTGTCGGTCTCGCGTTCCCCTGAGCCCTCTTCCGGGCATCGGTGCAGCACTAACTCTCAAAGAGCTTTCGGCAAGCTTTATATGCATATGGTTTATACATGACAGAGGGAAAGAGTGTTGGAGTTATCTGGGAAAAGTGTTGGTGTGCTGCAGCTGCGTGCGGCTGGGGTGTCTGTACAGCTGGCTGCCGCTTACGTGGCACTCTTTCTCGAGCTCTGCATTTCTCTCTGCGAGCTCTTCTGCTGCTGTTTTCTGCAAATCAATTTGCTTCTTGAGTTCCTCGACCTGACGGCCAGCAGCACCAGAAGCAGCACTTGCTTCCAGGTCACGTAGTATAACCATCAAGTCTGCACACAGGCTCACACGCCAAAGACCCAGACTTTACGAAGTAGCCTCTGAGGCCTACAGATTAGCCCTTTGCAGAAAACTTGGAAAATAACCAGCTGCAACTGGTGCTGCTTCAGCTCAAGGGCTCAGACTGTGGGGCCCGGGGTTTAGAGTCAGACGCTGGGGCTTTGGCTGTACCTGGCTGCTGCAGTAGTAGCTGCAGCAGGCCTAAGAAAGTGGCCTCTGCCGTTTTCGCACGTTTCGTTAGTGAGTCTATTTCTTGTTGGTAGCCCCTCAGCAACTGCTCTGTTGCCTTTTTGACTGTCTCCAGAGCCGCAGCGCCTCCCTGCTGCTCCTGCTGCTGCTCCTGCTGCTGCTCGTCCGGCGCTGCTGCAGCGCCGCCATTTGCTGCTGCAGCTGGGCTCACAGGAGGCCCCGTGGAGACCGAAGGCGACAGCGAAAGCGAAGACCAGAGGCGGCGGTTATCTGCAGAAAATGCGGGAAGAGATAAACACTTCAAAAGCACCAGTAAACACTCCACGGATCGAAACACGAGGAAACAAAGAGATGCAAATAGACATTAAAAGAGAGCAGCAAGCCAAAGGCACTGCGCAGCGCTTGGCATTGGGGGGAAAACCAACACTTGCGCAAAGGCTTGTGCATTCTACCCAAACCAAGAAGAATTAAAGAACTAAGGAAACTGAGAGGCGCTGCAGGCAGACAGAGCTGGCCCAGCCTCTTGCGCCCCGGTGCTGCTGTGTATATACTGCTGCGCTTGATACCCTAGCCACGCGTACACAGATGCATTTTCGCACTTTACAGAAGTGCTGATATGTTTGCAATCATGTATGTGGAAGTAGAGAAATTTGCCCCGAGTATGAGGGGATATAAACGGATGCATTGTGCATCAACACACGTGGAAACATCTTTAAAACGTGTAGTTAGACGCATATGAACTGGAGACAAAGTGTGTGGCCTCACCTTTGGTTTCGCTCGCGAGTTTCTTCCGCGAGTCGACTGCTGCTCTTTTGGCCTTCTCAATCTCCTCGCAGAAAGAGGTGTAGGAGCGCACCTGCTGCCAGCACACGACCCTGAGGTCAAAAAGCAGCAAGACGTGGCAAACTTGAGGGCAGTGTGTATTTAGCTGCAGATGAAATGCTTGAGCGGGGCTCCATTCAATTCCTCAGTGGGGCTTTGAAAAACGCCGCTATTAACCGATCGTTAACACGCAAGATACGCTTATGTCACAGCTATTTTAAGGCCAATATGGAGCTGAAAATAATGAGAAGATGCACACACCAGGAAGAAACAGCTTCCGCTGTGGTCTGCGAACTGCCGAGGACATCCATATTCGCAAATGCCAGGAAGCTGACGAAAATAGAATTAAACGAAGTCCTCTATAGTTCGTTTCCTTGAGAGCTACGAAAATCGAAAAAGACGACCCGAATTCCGGTGTTCATACACCTCAAATTGACGAATGTGCTAAGGCCATTTGCGTCCATCTGGTCTTCAACTTCAAAATGGTGCAGTAAAAAGCACTAAAAATGCAACGAATTAACTAAGATAAGCGCGCTTGAAGATACCATAAATATTAGCATTTGCTTGACCAACTGGCTGGACCCAGTGGGCCCCAGCCGGTCGGCTTCGTGCCGTCGTAGGGGCCCCCTAAGTATCTGCCTTGGGGGGCCTCTGTCCGCTATTGCATCAGGGGCCTCTGTATCCAGTTTTTCGATTTATCCCTGCGCCCGTTTAAAGGGCATTGAAGCAAACACTGAAATGGGGAGATGAATAATTCAACTCTTCAAGGAAATCGACCGGGCTAGGTCTGTGTGGTTGTTCTCTTTTTCACGCTTCCCCGGCAGATCTTCTCGTGTGATCTTGGCAGCTAGCGCCTTCGCCGCCATTCTTGAGTCTTGTCCTCTTGGCTTTCAATTTATTTTGCTTTTGAGTTTTAATAATTGGTTTTTTGCGCGGTGTCTGCCAAACAGAGCTAAGGTAGCCACCGAGCGCTAGGCGGCCTCAAGCACGGGTGCCAGCGCACACGGACTACACAGGCGCTCAGAAGACAAGGTTGCAGAGACTTCAGCAGCAGCTCGGGCTGCCAAAACAAATGAAGCAGCAGCAGCAGCAACAGCAGCAAAGGTCCTCCTATTCGCGCGGCAAGAAACACGCGGGCAGCCACAGCCGCAGCAGCACCGACTTCGCCTCAACAGCTCAAATAGATGCAGCAGCAGCTACAGCAGCACATTTAGGCGCAGGGCCAGCACAGTAGTGGCAGGAGCAGCAGCAAGAGGCCCCATAAATGCCGACTTGACAACATGTCGGTTTCTTCTGCCTCTTCCTCTTTAAGCAACCGCCCCGCGTCGCGTCGACTGTCCCTTCACATGCAGGACCTGAAGCAGCAAAAGCAGCAGCACCAAGTCCGAAACGCGCCGGAGCCGCAGCAGCAGCACAAGAAGCAGCAGGGCGAACAGCAGCAGCAGCAGCAGCAAGAGCAGCGGGAGCAGCAGGAGCAGGAAAATGCCACACCCCCGACTTCTTGGAACTTGACGGACGCGAGCGCTGCAGCAGCCACCTTGCTAAATGCGCGCTGCGTGCTGGTGGTGCCTGGCTGGGGCCTTGCGCAAAGTCGGTGTGGGGCGGAGTTCGCGGAGACAGTGAAGCTGCTGCTGCTGGGGTCTTGCGTGGAGATAGGTGTGAGTCCCATAGCGGGGTTGTTTCCAGGCCACATTTCTTTGTTTCTGCAGGGCGTGCCGGAGCGCCTAATAAAGACTGGCGCAGAGGTCATGGAGGCCCTGTTCAAGTACGACGCTTGCCTCCTTGTCGGCGCCAACGACGTGGTTAATCCCACTCTCACTCAAGACGGAAAGTCTTTGAAGGGGGCCATAATCGAGGCCTGGCGAGTGCCCAGGGTTGTGGCCCTGCGCCGCTCGCAGGGGCCCCGGGGGCACCTTGGCGGCAAGAACAACAACCCCACCTTTTTGCGGCCCAACGTCTGCGTCTTGCCTGGAGACGCGAAGAAGTCCCTTGCGGCAATCAACGAGGCCTTGAGGCATCTGGGCAGGGACGCGGGGGGGGGCAGGGGCTGGCCGCCCATCAAAGTCTACGGGGACTTAGACGAAGACCCCATAACCCAGTCTGTCTCCCACTGGCCCCCGCCCGTGCTGACTGTGGGGGCCCTGCGGGACCAGGTGGGAGGCGGGATCGTCCCCCTCGATCCCAGGGGTGTCCAGCGGCTGCGCGCCATGGGGTTTAGGGTTTTGGTAGAAAGGGACTTGGGGGAAGAGGCCGCCACGGCCCCCACGGCTGAGGTGACCCCAGGAACTCTCACGGCCAGCGGGGGCCCCGGGAGCCCCGGAGGCCCCTGCACTTACTCTTCTCTAGAGTACACAATGGCGGGCGCCGATGTTTGCGATTTGGAGGAGGTGCTTCGGGCTGAGGTCCTCGTGCACCCTACTATACCCCCCCTGGACTACTTTATGAAGGCAGGCGGCCCCGCAAACGGAAGAGCAGCAAATGCTGCAGCAGCAGCAGCAGGCGGGGTCAAAGGCAGCGTGCTGATATGCAGCATTCCTCCGGGGCGCCCTTGTCCGCTGCTGCCGGCCTTGAGTGCTGCGCGCTGGTCTGTGCTTTCCCTTAGTGTCTCCTCGCCTTCTCTCCAGGCCCGCGGGGTTGCTGCTGCTCCTTCTCTCGAGGCCTTGCGAGGCAGCAAGGCGCTGCTGCAGTGCCTCTACGCGCTGCCGCGGCTGGTGAAGGGCCTCACAACTGCTGCAGGGCGCATCGACCCCGCCATGGTGCTGGTCCTGGGCGCGGGCGTTGAGGGGCTGCATGCAGCAGCAGCAGCCTACAGGTCTGGCGCTAAGGTGTATGTGGCTGACCCCCGGATTTCCGCAAAGGCAGCAGTGGAGTCTATTGGTGCGGTTTTCCTCTCTGTCCTCCTCCGTGTCTCTTCTTGGGAGGCCCTCAGCAGATTTCCCCAGGTGGTTGAGACCCTCCGTGCTCTGGTTCAGAAGAGCGACATAGTTGTTTGTGCCCCTCGCGGGCTGGACGGGGGCCCCCCGGGCGAGTTCGAGGGGGGCCCCCCTCAGCTGGTACCCGAAGAGTGGATGGAGGGCATGAAGGCCGGCGCTGTGGTCATCGACATGCTAGGGGGGCACCCAGAGGCTGCTCCAGGTTGGTTTGGCTGTGTGCAAAGGGGCCCCCAAGGAGAGCCCTTGGAGCTTGGGCCCCTCTCCCCAGGATTCATGCAGGGGCCTCCTGTGGGGGTCACTGTGCTGGATGGCAGCAACCTGCAGCAGCTGATGCCGAAGGAGACTTCGCGGATTCTCTCTGAAAGTGTGTGCAACCTGCTGCAGCAACTGAAAAGTCCCGAAGCATTGTCCTTGTCTCTGCCAGATGAGACCGACCCCGTGCTGCACAGCCTGCTGCTACTTGAGAGGGGTGACCCCCTCCCCCCCAAAGCCCACAGCATTTTCAGGGGCCGCCGCACTCTGTCGCAGCTCAAACTGGGCAGCAGCATTTCAGGGCACTCGCGGCAGAGCTCTGTCTCCTCAGATGCAGCCAGTGCCTTCTTCCAAAAGCCGTAGAAGGCAGGGCCCCGCAGCCAGCAGGTCTTTTCCAGGAGTGGCTTGGGAGGCTTGCTGCGCGCTTTCGGGCGCACAGGAAAAGACATGAAAGTTTTCTAGAAGCAGATCCATTTGTCTCTTCATTGGGGTCTTACAGGGACCCAGGAGGGAGCTCACAAAGCCGCCTCAAGAGCCTTAAAACCACCCCGGAAGAAAACTTGATGGGGTCGTCGTGGGCTTTAGCAGCAGCTGCACAGATGCTGCAAAGTGCACTACAAGGGCTCAGCAAAGGCCCTGAGAGACTTCACGGAGAACTCACCAGGGACTGATAGATAGGCATCTGGCCAAAAAGAGGCCACAGGAGAGCTCAGTAGGACAATTGAGCTTCGCACTGGCTCTGTTGGGGCCGTGCAGGCAGCTCGGATATAGCAAAAGGCCGCAACGTGCACTTGGCGGCACTTGGGAAAAATGCGTGATGTTTCTTTGTTGCGATTTTGCGAGGAGTGTACATTTGGGGAGGCGTAAACGAGGTGCCAGGGCCTCATGTAGTATCTAGTGCACGGTGTTTTGCTGGGGCCTGTTAAGCCCTTATTCGGGGTCTCAGAATGCCCTCTAGGCTATTTGTACTCACCGCCTCTGCCGTAGAAAAGCCTCGGCAGAAAACGCTTAGGTGGGCGCATGCCGCATTTACGTGATAGTTCTATGGACTGTCGGCGCCTCTGAGTCTCCGCCGCTCACACCCTCCCTTGCAGCAGCAAAACGAGCAGAAGCAGCAGCAGCAGCAGCCGCCGCAGCAGAAGCGCTGTTTGTTTGTGCCGTCTGCTTGCTTTTGTGCTGCTCGCTGAGCAGCACAGCGGTGGCAGCAGCGTCTGCAGCCTTGGGAGCCTCCCGCAGTCTCTGCAGGAAGACCCCCTTAGCTAGTTTGTTGCTGTACACGGGGATAGAGGAGACAGAGAGACGGGATACAATTCCTCGCTCTGTCACCAATCCAACTTCCCTTGGGGAGCCTCCCACAAACCAAACACCACACAGCTCCTCTGCTGGCTCGGGGCCACCCCGCAAGTTCGCCAAATCCGCCCCTGCACATCCCTGGAGGCCTTCTTTAGAGGCCCCTTCGCGAGAAGCTTCTTCCCTAGGAGACCCTTTCTCAGAGTCCCCTGCGGAGGCGCCTTCTTGAGTGTCCTCTGGCTCCGGGGCTTCTTTTTGGCTTTCCTCCTGAGGAGGTATATCATGAGAGTTCCCGCCCTTGGGGGCCCCCGGAGCGGCCTGGCCTTGGGGGCCCCGTCCTGGGGGCCCCTCTCGGTTTGCCAGTCGAAGCACAGCCTTGCCTGCGCCTCCTCGTCTTTGTGGCGAGAGGTGCTGGAGAAGCAGCCGTTTGCCTGTATGCATGCAGCCCCAAAGTGGGGGGAGAGTGTGGAGGGGACAATAGCTGGAGGAGACGGAAGGCCGCGACACAGGAGAAGGAGACAGCTAACAGGACCAGACGTAAATAAGAGGACGAATCAACGGGAGGGGACACAGGGCAAATAAAGGCAAGGATGCAGTCACAGGGAGATGGATTCAAGTTCAGAAGACAAGTACAGGCAGGCGCGTCACGATCCACAGTAAAAGACACGGCCACTGCAAAGGACATGCTATGTAAACTTTTTGCTGTCCCCTTTGGCTGACCTCGGCCTTTCTTTGTAAGAACTACAAGAGAATCTCCTTCGGGATCGGCCTTAGGGGGAACGACAGTAAGAGCAACGACTCTGTCTTCCTTCCTATAGCGCCAACACAGTGCATTTGTAAGTAGAATCTCAACGGGTTCGAGAAGATGACAATATACGCAAGTATTAACTGGTCACAGTGCTTTTTGAATGTCGTGGCCGGACTCTTCCAACTCGAATAGGCAAAAGTACTCTTGGGCATACGGGCCCGTTTGTTGTGTCTCCGCCGGCAATTGCGAATGACAAAATGCACCAGAGACGCAAATCAGTCGAACATGCAATTAGGTTCTGTACAAGTCGGCATGTAGTTACGCAGCGTCCCCAAGGGTTACCACACTTGTGGTGTACATAACACCTCCGAGGCAGATACACACCTTAAAGTGATGCCCTTAACTCCCCGCGACAACAAGCTCGCCTGAGGCAGGGAACTAAATGGAAAACGAAGGGCTCGGCCAAAGGCAGTGCCTGCAAAAGTTGAAAAGAAACGCGCAGAGAGAGACTGACGGACACATCACGGCGGCAGACAAACGGATATCTGCTGTCATTGTGCAAACACGCAGGCACAGAAACGGAGACGCAAAGAAACACAAACGCCAAATGAGAAGACTAGCAGCCGAAGATACAGACAATCGGAACAAAGGAGAATCCAGTTCACGCAGTTATACGCTGAGAGCCAAGCGAGCAGAAGAATGAATGGAGGAAACATTTGAGTGGGGAGGGAATAAAATGGGCTAGCGCTGGAAAGGGAGAAGGCACAGGGAGAATGCAAGCTCAAAAGTGTCTTCCCACCTAAGACAACGGAGTAGTCGTTTTCTCCTTTTGCTTCTCCCAATGTTTCTGTCTGTTCTTGACTCTCCGCGCTTTTGTTTGGATCCTCGTGGACCCCGTTTCTTGCCTCTGTCTCTGGACCCGTTCCCAAGTCCGTATCTGTCTCCGCCTTAATGGCTTGCGCGTCTCTGTCGCTTTTCGTTGGCCTCTTCTTTACCACCGCGCACGCCGCTACTGCATCTCCAAGTCCCAAGGGCAGCAGCCGCCGTGTGCGACTCTTCTTTTTTGTCCCTGTGGGCAGCAGAAGCCCCAGAGGCAGAGCCTTCACCAGGCCCTGCTGAGTAACCACCACCAGCTGGCCTCCTATCTCTTCCTTGCCCACACGAACGACGCAGCCCAGATGTCCTTCAGTTTCGCCGTCTGATCCTGTTGTTGCTGCTGTTGCAGCATCGGCACGTCCTGCTGCTGCAGCAGTAGCAGCACGCTGGACGCCTCGCTTGGAGGCACCAAGAGCAACGAATGAAGCCACTGTCTTCAGTCCGTGGCGCTGCAGATGAGAGCCAGGAAGGGCCAAGCATCTCCCGTCTCTCCATGTGAACAATATCCAGTCGCCGTCTCTGCACTCAGTTGCTGCTGCTACACTGTCGCTGCTGCCTCTGTCCTGCCGGTGCTGCTGCTGGGGTGCTCCTACTGTGCAGCGGCTTATTGCTGGGTTTGGGCCCGCGCCTGCGGTGAAGCAGCGCTGGCCCGTAGCCCCTCTGGACTGCAGACTAATTGAGGCCTCCGACACTCTTTTGTAGAGGCCCTTGCGCGTGACTAGCAGCAAGTAACTGCACACGCAGCGACAACACCAGCAGTAGAAGTGTCGAAAACACCAGCAGAGCTTAATGCGTGATCCTCAGATAGCTGGTGCCTAGGTCTCTGCATGCGCCTCTTTTAGCTGCGCCCACTGTATTCACTTATGTGATTACAAATGCTCACAAGCAAAGGTTTCGTGAACCAATTTACTGCTTAGATACATGTGAAAATGCATTTAGAAACAATATACATGCGTGAGGACCTTAAGCCCATGCACAAAATATCAACGCACACAAAACCCAACGCAAGTAAACACCGTAAATATCCTTAGCGTAGCATGAATGCTGGCGCAGCGCTGCATGGGAAGTGCACTCTTTGAATACTGCCTTTCCACCTTGAAAAAGAAGCAAAGCTCTCCGGAAGCCTGCCTCACACAAACGTCCGAAATCAAGAAAAATAGGGCCAGCGTTTCTTTAAGCAGTTTGCAGACCTTTTGCTGTCTTTTTGACTTTCTATTATCTCCTCTTCGCCGTCAAAAGTCTCAAGCCCATCTCCCTCTCCAGGATTCAAGCGCTGCATAGCCACTACGGGGCTCTTAGTTGAAACTTGGGGACCTTTTCGAAGAAACAGTGTCTTGCGGGGGCCCCCGTACTTCCTATCTATTTCTTGTAGTTCCTCTTTGATGAGGGTGAAGAGCTGAGCGTCATCTGACAAGAGGCGACGGAGTCTCTCTGCCTTCCGGCGCGTCTCTTCGAGCTGCTGCTGCTGCTGCTGCTGTTCAAGCTGCAGCAGACTAGAAAGCTTCATGCGCAAAAGCCCCTTGGCCTGCACCTCCGTAAAGCCCAAGGGCTGTCCTGTGTACAAGATGCAGCAGAACTAAAAATAAGACGAAGGCAATAAGGCAACAACAGACACAAGCAACCGCCAAAAAATGCAAGCGTCAAGGAAGAAGGAAGAAATCACAGACTCATTATATTCCTATCTAAGAAATGACGCGGCGGGCTTTGTTCTACTACGTGAGTATGAATTCTGTCATCCATTGTGTGCACGCGTGCACTTTTGCTTCTGATTAAAGGCAAAATAGTTAGCCCACGCTTTAAAAGCATGCAGATACAGGAAAGCCCACACATCGAAAGCGTACTTTTGGCACCTATATAAAAAAATGCATGCATACGCATGTCAAAGGACACAAGCGTATAAGTATGTAAATGAGTACACTCAGAGAGAGCGTATGCCCACTCTACACAAATAATTGCGCTTTTACTTCTTTGATCACGACGAGTGTTTAAATAAGTAAAAAGCTACGCGCGCGTGAGATTCAAATGCACATTTAAAACACTCTGTGTACCCTTCTTCCACTTTGGCCACATTCATGTACGCATGCACATGCAGATATGCGCTGCCTGCAATTATGCATGCGTGTGCCTACCCATGAGCTTGCTGACCACCTCTTCCGCGTCTCTGCAACGCTGGAGCAGATCCACAATTTCTCGTGAGTGTTGTGCTGCCTTTGTGCTGCCTTCGAGAATGTGCTGCTGCTGCAAGAGCAGCTGCTCCTCCCGTTCCGTGCGGGCTCTCACGGCTCTCAAACGAGCTTGAAGCCACGACTCTAGTAAGTCTCTAAGAGCCAATTACACACCGAACGACTCACACACCTTGTTATTTACCATAGACCCTAGACACCAAGGCATTCAGCTGCGCTGGATTACATATAACGGCTGTAGCGGGTCTGGTTGTGACCACCTCCAGCGATGCCAGGCTCGGGCTAAAGGAAAAGAAGAGCTTAGGATTCGTGAACCACGCAATGTACCTAATTGAGAGGCTGTGCGGATGTTTTCCGTCCTTAAGGGCCACTAAGTTGCATTGTACAGACACCTCAAGCGCTGTGCTGGATACCAACTGCCTCCAAACCTCGCGAGGTGACGCCTCAGGCAGCAGTTCAAACACTACGCGGAGGCCACTGAAATCGCTTTCGTCTCGGACGTCTGACGCAAGAGCCACAAACAGAGCGACACAAGCTGCGGACCATAGAACCCGGCGCTCTTTGAAAAAGTCACAAGTTCCCAAAACTGAACTCTGCTCAACCAACTCAACGTCCTTAAAAGCAATTCGTGAAACATTCTTATTCTCAACGCTTAGGGTACCGACCACTGGGCCCTGAAAAGTAATTCGTGAAACATTCTTATTCTCAACGCCAAGGTTACCGACCGCTGGGCTTTGACTGTATGTTGTGGACTTTGAAACCCTGCCTTGAACAATCTATCCTAAACGTTTAGTTCGAAGGCTTTAGTTGCTGTCTCATTTGACCGCATCTCTCTAGCTAGAAATCATCCTTGTTGATGACCCTAATTTGAATGCTAGAAGAAGGACTATATGCTTGAGAGGATGAGTTCTACGTCGTGGACCAACTGTGAAACTACTACGGCGCGAATCAAGGAAAGATTCGGAGTTTAGGATACAGCGTTTCTTCTTACTTGAAATATAAGGGAGAAGACGCTCATTTGCAAGCCGCGCGGCGGTTTGGACAAGTTCCCCCTGAATCAGGGCGAAGAAGGACAAAAAGAGGCGAGGAATCAATAAAGAAAGGGGAAAGCATTCAGAGGTGGCCGACACAACAAGGAGGCAATAATGAAGGGAACAGAAGATGTAGACAAGTGCTGCTTTTCTGCCTCCCCTTGCTCAAGTCCTCTCTTTTGTCATCTAGTTCCCTCTTGCCCCTTTGCAAAAAGTAAATGCGCAAGATGAAAGTAAATGCATGCATTGGCACTTTCTTTACAACTTGATATCCAAGCATCGGACCCTGACCTTATTGACACCATAGGGAAGCTCTGTGACAACTATCTGCAAGCTCTGTGGCCCTCCACTTTGGCTTGGTCCCTGTTTCTGTCCCTTGCCACCTCCAGCAGAAGTAACAGGGTTCTGCTTCTCCTTCATTTCCACAAAGCCTCGGGCCCGCAGCCGCACAGATCCGTGGCCCTTCCTGTATGCTGCAATGGCCTCAGGCGGCTGCACTAGTAGGCCCCCCGTGGGAAAATCTGGACCGGGCAGCAGCCGGTAAAGAGCAGCATCTGAAATGCGCGGGTTGCTGCAGCAGCAATACAAGCAACGAAAGCATAACCGTAAGCAGCAGCAGCAGCAGCAAGGCAGAAAAATAAAAGGAACACTACTTCAAGAAGATGCCACCGTAGCGTTCACACAAGGACGAAGCCTAATTCCTTGAATGTAAGCCCTACTCAATCAGAGCAATGCATGCGGCGACCACTTCGCTGAGATTGTGTGGGGGGAGGCTTGTAGAGAGGCCCACAGCTACTCCAGCAGTTCCTTGCAACAGTAGCAACGGCAACCGTGCAGGGAAAAAGTCGGGCTCCACCTGAAGCCGTAAACAAAGCAGGTCCTAAAGCCTTCTGCCTCTCCTCTGTACGAGAAAACCTGTCCCAGGGGTTTTGCAAATGCTATTTTGAGGCCTAAAATGCCTGAACTTTCAAACTTTTCCCAGTTTCCCATGTCAGGGAAAATCCTGCAGAATCCTGCGGCCTGTGCTTACCTCTGTGGCGTCGAAGTTGCTGCGAAAGCCGCAGGCGGAGGTGTGCAAGTCCTTCAGGAGAACATCCTGGCTGAGTGCAGGAGCCATAAGCCACAGTTACAAACCGGAATCTTCAGCTTTTCAAAAGGCCCAGTTTGAGTACTTCTAGCAGTTCTTTAGCTGGCCAGGGTGCAGGTTTTTAGGCCTTTGCTGCCTTTAAAGATCCCCCTATAGTCCCTAATTAGCTCCAAGCTCTTATGTAAAAGGCTAGAAACTTAGTCTGAGTTCACCAGAAAGCAGATAGCCGGCATTCTGTGTAGCGCATTGCAGCTGCTGGGTCCCCGTCAACAGAGCCGAAGTTCCCGTGGCCTTCAATGAGCGGCAGCTGGTAAACAAATGGCTGCGCCAGTCTGCGCACAAACCCTAAACCCTAAGCCCTTCTCATTCAGCTTACGCCCTGCCGCCAAGGCTTGAGCACTCTCCTTGATTCTGATCAATCTGCTATTGCCCTAGATCTAAAGCACAGGGTGCGTGCCGGACAGTATTCGTTGATACAGCTACTGCTGCTGCTGCTGCTGCTGCTGCTGCTTTTGCTGCACCGGACGAGAGCGTCGTATACGGCTTTGTCTCCGTGAGGATGAAATTTACCCAGCACCTCCCCAACCACTCTCGCGCTCTTTCTAAAGGGCCCAGCGTGGCTGAGACCCAGTTGCTGCAGCAGCTCGCCGCCCACAAGCAATTTCCCTTCAAGTCTAAAACGCCAGAGAGCCTCAGGGCCTTCAGCCCCTAGCCCAGTCTGCACTCACCTGCATGGCATATATAATCCTGCGGTGAACAGGTTTTAGCCCATCTCTTGTGTCGGGAAGGGCCCTCGAGTGAATTGTGGAGATGGCATACTGTCCAAAGCTCTCTATCAATTCATCCGCAAACTCACAAGACAAGGCCCGCTCTGAATCCTGCTCTGCTGCTGGCTCTTTTGTGCTTGCTCCAGGCGAGTTGCTGGGAGCAGCTGGGCTTGCTGCTGCTGCTGCTGCTGGTGCTGCAGTATCTGCTGGCGCAGCAGCAGCAAGGTGAGAACTGTTGCGGAAACTGAGCTGCGACGTGCAGATGCAGACACTTTCTTTCTTCTGCATAGGGAGAAGCCCCGTCAGCCCATAAACTGAATAAGCCAGGGGGCCTCTCACCCTGACGGGCACAGAGGGGGCCCCCCTGTGAGGGACCACGGGGGCCCTCAGGAAGGCCTCACTGGAGGGCCCTTGGAACAGCAGAGCGAGGGCGGAACAGCAGAAGGCCCAAAGGCCCCGCATCGTGGCTTTGACTGCTGTGGCTCTGGGCCTAACGGCTCAGCATTCAATAGTTAAGATTGGCGGGGGTTCACAAGCCGCGTGGCCACAAAGTCCCCCGCAACGACGGGGATCGTCGATCCCCATCGGCCTATGCGCCAGGTACTCTAATTGAGACACACAGACTCTGCGACGCAGAAATAAAAGTCAGAGTTTGCCGCTTAGCACTGAGATCTTAGGACTGTATGGGGGCTGGTGAGGCTGTTGACTCCCATGAAACTGCCAGAGCCGAGCCACTCCTGCTCCATCTGTTCCTCTTAACAGAAGGCCAAGCTCTTCTGTAGGTTTGCAGCTGAAGGCTGAGGTTTTACGGCCTACAGCGACCCTCGAAGGGTGGGGGCCCTTGTGCCGACTCGGGGGGTTGGGGCCCCTCACTGCGCCCCCGCTGGTCAACGGAGCTCCCGCCTGGACTATATTCTAGGTGGGGCTCTCAATTTGCAATTCGTCAAAAAATTTACAGGAACCACATAACTTTCACCTCACTTTCCAATCGATGCCTCTCGCTGGAGAGCATCGGCCGGTGCTCGCAATGACACGAGTTTGCATTCTAGCCAGCAGGTTCCCCGCAAATTACTTTATTCGAAAAGCGCAATCCAAAAACAACATAATTTTTTTCTGAGAGGCAATTCTTGAGACAGGGAAGCCATTCCTCAAGCGTGGGATGTCTGTACACCGCAGATCCGAGCTGGCGAGCGCCTCCGCGCAGGCAAGGATGCCGACATGCGTCTACTACATTTTATCAAATTAGTTTTTTTCGTAGCGCCTATAAATGAGTCAACCACAATGATCAGGGGCCTTAAGAGGTTACGCGGAGGGCTCAAACCCCAGACCGCCACAGGGTTCACGCGTACCCTGTGCTGTCCCACAGCAGCTCCTCCCTTGAGGGACTCAAGGCCCAAGCAATATATGGTTTCTGGGCCTTTGTGGCTTTCCAGTTGTGGGGTTCTTGGGAGAGTCATCCAGAGGGGGATGAGAGCTTCACAAAGATGTGCATCAAGGGTCTCCCCTCCAGCTGCTATCGGTGCAGAGGTGAGTCGCTTTGGGGACTTTCCTCGGGCTTTTCGCGGAATCATACAGGGTGGAAGCGTGAAGCAGATGAAGTTGTGTCTGTGGAGTGCTTGTTTATATGCCCTGTTGGTCTACGCTACTGGCAGGACCTGTGTCTGTCTTTTTCAATCAAGTCCAATCCCGTCATGGGCTTCCAGACACCAAAACGCCGTTGCGATGTAGAGGCGCCTCTGATGCATGCAGGCAGCTGCTGAAGAGAGAATGGTAGCTGCGCCAGCCCCAGCAGCAGCTGCAGCTGCTGCTGGGGCAGCTGCTGCAGCAGCTGCTGCAGCAGCCAGGGCGCCCGTAGAAGATCAAAAGAAGCCAACGAAAGTGACCAACAAAGGGCACGACCCCCAGATGAAGGGCCTACTGGTGTTGGAGGCAATTCCCGATTCCCCAGATCTGGGTATGGTTTACATCGGCCGAAATGCTGAACAGGTGAGGCGTTCATACACCGCAAATGTATAATGGTTCTTTTCTCCTTATACCCGCGTATTCGTCGCTAGAAAGAATCCTTAGTACCGCTTTTTTTCCTGATATTTTATTTGCGATCTATTTTCTTTCTTGCGTGGTCTTTGCGGTTTTTTTCAATGCAGAATGAGCGCCTTTCTTTTTCTTTTTCGAAGCCGTCAGACATTTGGATGCATGCAGAAGGGATGCCTGGGGCCCACGTGCTGCTGCGGCTTCCAAATAAGGCCTCATCTATGGACCAAAGTTCTTTTCAAGAAGATTCTTCTCGAGGGAAAACTCGAGTTGAGTCACCCCTGAAGGAAGGCCCCGCTGGAGGCCCTTCAGGGGGGGCCTTGGCGTTCGCAGCAGATTGTGCAGCTTACTTTTCCAAATGCAAGACGCAGCGGCAGGTGCCTGTTGTCTGCACAACTGCAGGCCAGCTCACTAAACCCTGGGGATCCCCGCTGGGGACAGTGGCGATTCGGGGAAAGACTCACAGACTGACGGGACGGTGAGGTGCAAATGAGTGCAAGCATGCAGCCTCAAGTCTATTCACCAGCATCAACAAAAAATTGCTTTTTTCCCCGGGATTATGTGCACTTCTGACGGCATAAGTTTTGAATTCAAGGGTTTCAGGGCTAGGGTTTCAGGTCTAGGGTTTAGGGTCAAATGCTTGCGTATTGAGGCTCGTGCTTGCCCCACAGGCCAAGCCGCGCGGCCCCTCGTATATCCGAGGCTATACTAAAAAGACGCGAACAAAATGAAAAGAAAAAGACAAAAAATACTGAAGGCTCAACTGGCCAAAATCATGCAGTGGCTGCAGCAAAAGCGCCGGCGGCAGATCCTGCAACTACAGCGCCAGAGGCAACAAATGCTGAAGCAGCAACAGCAGCACCCACTGTAGCAACAGCGGCATCAAACATAGTGGCAGCGAGAGATGCTGCAGCGTCAGCAACACCAAATGCGACAGGAGCAGGCCTCGTTGGAGGCGCAACGGCCATCGCAGCAGAGCAGGAACAAACGGAACAGCAAAGCTGCAGCAGCAACAGCAGCATTTAAAGACACATATGAAGCAGCAAAAACAGCAACAGGCTCCAGATATGCAACAAGAGCAGCAGCCGCAGAGGTAACAACAGCGACTGAAGCAACTTGGAGTGTGTCTCAGGGAGACGCTGGGCGTGGCGTCCTCTGCGCCCCGCCTCTTGATATTTGGAAAGTAAAGATCCTGTTTTTATCCCTATTTTTTTGGTTGCAGTTTCGTATCTTCCCTCTCCAGGTTTGCGTAAATGGTACTGCCCAGAAAAACTTGCAAGAGGCGAATGGACAGCAATTGTAGTGTCCATTTCTGTCATCTTATCTGCGTAAGTAGCAAAATAGGTCTCGCCTACTAGCGAAACCTCTGCAATCGAGCCCCCCTATATATGAAGCAAACTGCCAAGCAATAAGAGGCCCCAAAATGACTGGTTGGGCTCCTCCTAGGTAAAATGGGCGTTAAACAGAGTGCCTCGAGGACCTCCGTTAATCTCATAGTGAATGCTTTGCACAAAGTTTAGAGTTACGGCGCAGCGTTTAGTATGCGTGGCCTAAGGCATGCAGAGGGCTTTTCAAAGTCGTCTTTTGTGAGGCCCTCCCCAGTGCTGTACATCAAAGCACCCCATAGCCCGGACACGCAGCGCATGCAGCCGCGAAGCCGCCACAGGAAACAGCACGCTACCTGAGGCTGGCTGGGGTCTCCCCGCAGCGGTCGCACTTATTCCCAGAGCCCCACGTCCCTGCCGCGTCCCGCTGCTGCTGGTCCCTCACAATAGCAGCAAGACACGCAGCAAACGATGGGAGCGGCCCCGTGGAGGATCTTGAGAGAACACCTGAAGAAAGCCGGCCTTCAGCGGGGACAGCAGCCTCTGGGAACGGCACTGTTGGCTCCTCAGCACACGTTGAGCGCCTCTCTTCTCTCCTACCCGCTTCTGCCACTGCTGACTCTGCTGTTCTTTGTGCTGTTTCCGAATCTTCTAACGCCGCAGCAACAGCACCAGAGAGGTGCGTGCCTTGCGGATAAGTGTCTGTGGGTGTCAGTGAGGCTGCGAGTGCCCGCAGCGTGTGAAGGGACACAGGGAGAAGGGAAGGCAGTGCAGGGGCGAAGAACTCCCGCAGCGTTTCTGTGAAACGTTGCCTGTAGTCGCCTGGGGATAGAACAGTGGGCTGGAGGCCACTGGTCATGTATGCGAGGGCTTTGCCCAGCTTCTCTACGTGTTTGTCCCACGTATACTTGCGGAAAAAATCAATGAGGCCAAAGCATATCTCTGCGGTATCCTCGTAAACCACAACCAACAGCGAGTAGTCAACCACCTCAAGACGCTGCAGCAGAGAAAGGTCCTGCCGCAGTGCCTCCCTAAAGGCACAGACGTCACTGGAGTGCATGCACAACGCAAAGCCCCGAGAGTACTCGCGAAAATTTTGATCCCACAACACTGGCACGCACTCCAATGCTGCATGCACGTCCAAGGTTTCGAACTCCCCAGCGGCCGCCGCTGCAGCTGATATTTCAGTTGTTGCTCTTGCTTCAGCTGCTGTGACCGCTGGAGTTGCTGGAGGCGTTGCTGTAGAAAAGAAGCGAAAGAGGCCTTCGCCTGCACAGAAACTGTCGCAAACAGTGTCAGCTTGTGTCAGGCAAGCGCGAGACAAAGAAGGGACAAACCGCTCTGAGGGGAAATGAGAAAGAATATGAATGAGCCTTTGGTGCATACGAAGAAAAGTACGGAGAGCGACAAAAGTGCAATATACCCACCTGCAGCTGGGAAACTAGCGTCTTTACTAGAAAATGGTTCTTCAGTGGCTGCCAAGATCTTAGGAGAATAATTTTCGTCCGAGCTTACTGCTGCTGCATCGTTTGCTGCTGGGGTCGCTGTAGATGCGGCTGCTTCTTTCAGCATTGCAGCCGCCGTTCGATTCTGTCTCCCCGCTCTCCTTGCAGCAGCCCCACCACCCGTGCCGCTATTGCTGCTGCTGTTGGTGCCACTGTGAATTGCGTGTGAGTCCGTTTCCGGTATATACCTTTGCCTGCCGAGTCCTTTGAGGTCGAAGACCCTGATGGGCCCCTTTGGGGCCCCTCCTTCTCTGTACCTTAGGTTACTAAGGGCAACGTAATACCTTTTGTCTCCATTTATTGCATTCTTTACTTGAAATAGACCCAAAATTGGTGTTAGGGCCGACGGCCTTCCTTCCAATAACACGCGGGAAAAGTGGCGAAAGAAAGAATCACTCTGACACAGCAGCAACTTGACCTCGTGACGGTTTAACTCCTTCAATACATAAACCCTGAGCACGAAAAAAGCAAAAACGAGGGTGTAAGTTGCAGTCAAAACGCAACAAAATGTAACGGAACGCCGATAACAACAGCACGCCCTTTATGTGCAAGCAGCCAACTGAAACGAAAACAAACAGAGAAGTGCAGGGAAAATATATGAGGTAGTGAGATAGGTAGGGAGACAAAAGCATAAGACAAGAAGAAATGATGCCGAGAAGGAAGATTGGATGCGGACATAAAGACAGATGCGTCGGTGATCATTCATACTGAGGAGTATGATCCCGGGTCTACCAGTGGATTTGTGAAGAGAACTGGGCCTCAGGATTGACAATGTTTACATATACATTGTAGAAAGGCCATATACTTTGAACTGGCCTTCACAGTTTCGCCCACCCATCCGATGACAGCGTAAAGGACGCCCCGCTTTTTCCTCCAAACAGTTTGACAGGCGTTGCGCTTTTGATAGAGCAGCAAAACTGGAGATCATCTCCGCACAGCAAATGCCTCAAAATGTGAAACTGCAGTACACAAAAAAAACAAATTGCTTCTCAAGTTGCTTTCAATCTAGTCGCTGGCATCAGTGCCAGTCCCCATCTTGTTCCAGACTGTACACTTTCATACATAGGCGGGCTGCTGTTCAGCTAGCCACCCGAAAGCTAGTTGCTTAGCCGCTAGCTGAACCCTGCGAATCATCAACAAGCCGTAAGCCGGCCCCCAGAGAGGGTTCTGGGAATGCATACTTGTGGGGCAAAGAAAAGAGTCACACTGTGAGATCGATCATCCCCCAACTGGTGCACCTGCACATGCTGCTCGCCGCTGTCTATGGGAGCCTCCAGCACACTACGTAGCAGTCTCAGCTCTGTCTCATTCGCTTCATCCTGCAAAGCCGGACTGTGTAGAGACTCACAGCCAGGTGACTCCCTGAGCCACCACGGAATTCCCAAAGTGCTCTCTTCAGGCGAAAGCGCCACCAATGTCTGAAAGTGGGCAGCAAACGAAACTCCTTCCGCTGGCACTGGCGAATTTGCGCAACAAAATGGAGGCACAAAGAGACAGCAGCTGAACAAATCGCAAGCCAGAAGACCGCGGGGACTTGATTGGCCCGGATGCCTCCTCAGGGAGCCCTGCCCATTCCCTGTGCCTTTCGTTTCCTCTGGATTCACGGCATCTCCCCGTCCCTGGAAGCTTCTCGCTTTTAAAGGCCCTTCACACACAAGCGGTTGACTTTTACAGTCTGTGCGTGAAAAGCCTCCCCAAGGATTTTTGCTCTCTTCAAGAAATCCCTCAGAGAGTTCAGCCAAAACCACGGCCAGCGCTGAAGGCAGCAGAAGGCACCCACGGCTGCAGGGGCCACCCCACACAGACCATCTTTCTTTTGATGCGCATGTTTCACTACTACGTGGGATCTTGGGTTCCGAATGAGCCTGCTTCCCCCCACAGGATGATGCATTCACAACCCTGCTGGAGCTTCTTGTCTTCGCTAGCCTCCGTGCTCTGCAAAGCTCCACAGCACAAGTGCCCAGGCAGCACAGGCACGGCTTGCTGCTCTCATATGGCTCCAACGGCGCAGCTTCTGCAAAGGCTTCTGCAGAAGCATGTGTAGAGTCCTCTTTGGAGGCTTTTACTTGTGCTTCTGGAGGGCATTTTGCCGGGGCCCCTGTGGGGTTTATACATTTTCCACACAAGCCCCCACAACAAGCGCCCGGAGTATTGACGAATTCTGTCGTCCATCTACGCTTCAGTTGGTGTGTTGCTGCGGGGCTAAGAATGGCTGAGGCTATGAGGGCTCCTACATCTTTGGACTCCTGATGAGGCAAAAAGTCATGAAGGCCCTCTTTGGGGCGAGCAAGTATGTCAGACACGGAGGCTTCAAGAGCATGCAAAGCGCCGGCTGTGAGATGACGCAAACGGTGCAAACAGACAGTTTCACGGCTAGGCGTTGTACAGTTGCTACCGAGCAAAGCTGCATCACTTTTGCCGGTAAGTGAAGAAGCAGCAGCAAGAGCAGCAGACAGCGGCTGCCAACTGCTGAACCGGCGACAGGGTTGTTGTGGAGGCCCTGAGTGAAAATGATCCACCTTAAACGTCCCCGGAAGGCCACATGCTGCTCCGAATGCGGGGGGCATCAGGAGCCTGCTTGCTGCTGCTGCTGCTGCTGGTTTGTTGGTTGTGGCTGCTGACGATGTTGCTGAAGCTGCAAGAGCCAAAGTAGGCACTCCAGCGGGTATACGATTCACCGTTACACGTCCAGCGGACTCCAAGCAGCGTGCGGCTGATTGGAAACCCTTTGAATTTGCTGCAGCCGTAAAGGGTCTTCCAGACTCCGCTGTGGACCTGTCTGCCCTAGTTTCCTCGGGCGCCCCTGCATCTGCTAATGGGGCCCCCAGCGGCGCTCCCTCCTCTCCAGCAGGGGAGGCTGGGGATACAGAGGCGTCCTCCTCTTTGACAACCCGCCATACAACTTCGCACGAAGCGCTGCGGTGCCGGCGAGACTGCGGGGGAGCTGCTGCTACTCCGCTTGCTGCTGATGCTGCGGTTGCTGCTGCGTCTGTTGTTGTTGGGCTGTACAACCGGCCGTCCCTTGTATCACTAACAGTTGGCGTTACTGCTGGTGGGTGTAGCAAAAGAGGTATCATCTTTCCGGTGTAATAGACAGTTCTTTTGCTTGGCCGAGGCTCCACTGTTGCCACAGAGGTTTCCTTCGCTGTTGCTGTTGCTGCTGCTGCTGCTGCGGCTGCCGTTGGACCCTGTCCGGTGGCTGCGCTCCAAAAAAGCGAATCATTTTCACGCGGCGTTCGTATTCCGGTCAGTACTACGAAGCCTGCTGACTTCCTCGGGCTTTGCTCTTCTGCAGCAGCAATGGAATCGGCAGTGGCTACTGGTGCAGCGGCAGGATCTACAGATGCTGCCGCTCCTTCCTGCTGGCTCGCGGTATCATTCGTAGGTATTACAAGGGGAAGCAGGCTGGGCGACCCAGGAAGCTTGGCCTCTCTGAGGGCATCCTCTGCACCGCATGCAAACCTTTTAAAGAGAACAGAGCAGCATACTTCGAAATACTTGTCGAGACAAAACCATGAAAAATCGCAGGCTCGAAGCAGCCGCTCAGCTGTCTTCCAGCAGTAACAACCTTTTTCAGCCAACGTCATCCCTGGTGCATTGTTCTGCGATCTTTTTGCTGCTGCAGCCTGGTTCTCTTTGCTGCATGCAGGACCCTGTTGCTGCTGCCGCTTCAAGGTCACTTGCTGAAGCGAAAAACTGAACAACATGAGAATGGCCGCTGCTTGTTGCAACTCCTGCAGCAGCAGTGACAAACTGCGCTGATGCTCCACCAGCAGCTTACAAATAGTTGACCACAGGCGCCACAAAGGTCCCCCAGGAGGCCCCGTTGATGCCCCTTGATCTGAGGGGCCAGCAACACAGCTGCAAAGGGGTGACCGAATTTCAAGAGGAGCCCCTTGAATCAACAGTTGCTGCTGTTTCTCTGTTGCCTTTATCTGCCGCTCCACCGCTGCAGCAGTAGACGTCAAGAATGTTCTTCCGCGCGTAGCCCACGAGACCTGTGGCAAGCAGGGCACAAAGCCGCAAACCCTGAGCTCTAAAGAAAACGTCGAGAGCGTTGCAGGGCACAGGGTTCTTTTGCTGCATCGCGTATAGACTGCTTCCGAATGGAGCATATGCTTTTGCTGATACGGCTGTTGCTTTCGGCGCTACTGTCATTCTAGCTGGTGGTTGAGTGTAATGCTCCTGCCTTGTTTTCGAGGAGACAGCGCACACTGCCCTCCAGACTTTTTTGAAGTGCTTGACTTAGCGCGCAACCCCCTTCCAATGCTGAAGGAGATGAGCCTGCAGCGGTGCCTTTCAGAGAAACCCCAGTGAGCCATCCCGTGACTGCAGCATAAAGACCTCCAGGAGCGCCCTCTATTGCAGCAGCAGCTACCGCTTTTGCTGCTTCGTGCAGTTGACGGCGAGCGGTGCAGCACACGCTGCCAGAGAGGCACGCGTCCTCTTGCTGTTGGCAGGAGGCAAGTGACGTGCCATCATCAGCAAGTGCTGCTGCTGCAGCTCCTCCGCCCGGTGCTGCTGCAGGCGCCTTTGATGCTGCTGCTACAGGCGCTGGCTTCGCTGGTGTGTGTACGGGTTTTCCTGCTTCGGATGAGAGCAACGCGGTAGGTGATGCTGCGGACTCATTCGTTGCTACTGCTGCAGCTTCGGTTACCGAGGCGTCAGCAGCCGGGTCGGTTGAATCACGGCAAGTGGGGATTCTTGAGATAGGTTTCAACAGCTGATGGGGAGCCCCTTTTTTGCATATAGAGTAGACTGTTAGGCTCTGGTGGCTGAAAGCCAAAGTCTTGGACAAAAAGACAAAACAGGAGAGCAGGAAGGCCACACAGGAGAACACACGAAGAGGATCAGAAATGCACCATCTGCAACTTACAAAGAAAGTAGGTCGACCGTGCAGTATATTCTTTTAAAATTTCATACTGCGCACGTATGTGGAGCCGACGCAACTCGTGCCATTCTAAACTGCAAATGTGTAGATCTACGTGTAATGACGCATGTGCTAGGAGTGAGCATACAAAAAGGGACAAGCCGAAGGGAAATATTTTTAGCCCAGGATGCCTCTTCCAGAAACTAGCCTGCACCTTTCAGGTAAACTATTTCGACTACACGTTTCCACCTTTTCTCCTGCACTAAGCCTACGCTTTAAGGTGCTAGCAATTGTTCCCTTAGCGCAGCCACCAGCAACCAGCAGCTCCGCAGCTAATAAGGTGGAGGGCAATAGCAACATTGCAACAACGGCTGCAGCTGCAGCGCCATCAGCAGCGAGCATGAAGAGTGTACCTACAGCGTTTCCTGATGCGAAGTAAAACGTCCTGTCTCTAAAGATATAATGGGGGCAGCTGGGCGCTCCCTTGTCTCCATTCAGCACCTGCTCACGCTCCTGTTCCAGCTGCTGGTGCTGCTGTTGTTGCAGCACCCCCTGTTGCTGGTCCATCTGCTGCTGCTGCTGAAGAGCCCCGCTACGGGTACCGTCTCCCCTAAGGGTCTCGTCAGTAAGCAGCAACTCCAAAAACCTAATGAAGGGAAGGTCGCCATATCGGCCAATATCTTCAGAAGCCCCAAGGGCCCCACCACCACAGCGCCGGCACGTTTGCCACCAATCGACCCCAGCAGGGCCTCCATTCTTTTCAGTGCAATCCCAGCTCCCTTCTGTACCTGTTGTTTCTGCTGTTCGTTCTGCTGAAGCTGCTCTGATGGGCTCTGATAAAGCTGAAGGCAAGTCTTTCGCGGAAAACAAGGCATCCTCAAGCTTGCTATTGCACCGGACGCTATCCGCTGCCGTTGATGCTGCTGCCTCTGTTGCTGCTGGCTTGTCTCCCGTTGCGTTCGCTGTTGCTTCTGCTGTTCTCGCGGGGGGCAAGGGAGACAACATAGGTGACCCTTCATACCTGCTGCGGCGGCGGGCAGCAGCGGGTGCGCGCGAGACTTCCCCTTGAGGCACTAGAAGACCTTCCTGCATGCGCACAGCACAGCCAGCAGCAGTAACTTGAGCTACAGCGCAAGGCCCTTTGCGTACCTAGTAGCTTGCTTGGCACCCCTTCAGAAAGCTGTGGTCTGGAATTAAGGGTTTGCCTGACATTGAACGTAACAACAACTCGGTTTGTGTCTCTCGTGAACGCAAGGGAGTGCTCATTAAGAGGCCTTCTGCATCTGCTGTCCCCCGCGGGGCAGCTGCGGGACCCTGGATGTTGCTGCAAGAAGAGGCACCAGCGACTGGCGACTTCGCGCAGCGTAGCCCCAAAGGGGCTAAAGGCCAGCGCGCAAGGGCACCGCCGGAGAGCTCCCGAAGTTCCTGTGGAACCGGGGGACCAAGGGGCCCCAAGGGGCCCAAGGCAAGCGACGGCCCCAGAGGCCCAAGGGCTTCCTGCTCCAGTTGCGCACTGCTGGAGCCGGCAGCTCCAAGTGATGCCTAGGGAAACAATCTGGGCCTCAAGGCTGAAAGCCCGCCTCAGCAGCAAAGTACCCAGGCGTCTTCTTTCGTGCCCCACATCCTTCTCCTCTCTGAATGCAGGAGCAGAAGCAGCAGCAGCAGCTATTGCGTTCCTGACTGCTGCTTCAGGTGCTGCTTCTGCAGCAGAGGGAGCCGTGGTCTGAAAAGCACGGTGCAGCGGACGAATGCCACAAGTGCCGTTGGACGTAGGAACCCGAAGGGGCTCACCCAGGTCTGTGGGATCGACTGGGGGAGCACCAGGTATATCCAAGTTGCAGTTTGGAAGCCCCTCTTTCTCTCCATCTATGACCGTGAGAAGCTGCACTGCTGCGACGGCAGGACAGTTTGTTGCAGCGGCCGCAGCTGCTGCTGCAGCTACTGTCGGTGGATACTTGGTGCTGCTTGGGGGCCCCTCTAAGGAGCACATGCATTCCAGTAAGCGCCGCTCCAAGTCTCGGGGGCCCCCTGATCCCACAGATATGCTGCAGCATTGCAGCCAGCACTTGAGGGGTCTTTGCCTGAAGGTACTCTCCAGCAATTTGTTGACCATGGCCGTTGCAGCATCGGCCACAGCGCCGGTGCTGTCGCTGTTGCTGCTGTCCTGCTGCTCTCGCTGCTGCAGTACCGTTGATGCTGGGGTGTTGCTGCAAAGAGTCTGTACCCTGCTGGCTCCAGTTATTGAGTCATCATCCTGAGGCAGCTTCTCCAAGCCAGGACCAGGACTCTCCTCTGACTGCGGCAGCAAAAGCTGCCGTTTCGTTGCTGCTTCAATCCAGAGGGGCCCCTGAGGGCCGCCTCCCGGGTAGCAGCAAGCAGCAATAAATTTCAGCTCTTGCTGTAGTGCGAAGGCAGCACAAAGGCCCCTCCACAATACTCGCCTGTATGTTTCTGCCTCTTGGTCTTTGCCTGACACTTTTACTTCAGGCCATGCTGACGTTGGTGCTGCTGCTGTTGCTGCTGAGGTGGGAAGCACCAGGCAAATAGTCCAAAAGCTACTAGGTGGGCAGTCCGATAGAATGAGGTGAGACGGTGCTCCCGGAGTTGGGGCCCCCCAGTGCACAGAGCAGCTGCCCAGGACCGTCTGCTGTTGCTGCTGCGCTGTTTCTGCTGCTGCTCTTGCTGCTGCTAGTTCAAGAGAAGCCCACAAGGGTGCCCCCGTGGCTCTGCTGGCCCTAAGCAGGCTGGCAAAGGGGACGCCAGGAACGGCTACAATTTTTAGAGCTGCAAGGCGCAGCAGCAGTGAGAGAGGTAGGGACCCCGATAGCAGCAGCAGGTTTGGCTGAAGCAGCGCCAGCTGCTGCAGCAGCACCCTTAGCGCTAGTGTGTGTCTCCTCTGCACCGTCTCCAAGTGTGTGAACCGGCCTGGAGGCCCCTCAGCAACTCTGCCCCCCAACTGGAGGTCTCCGTGGACCAGCAGCACCCGTGCTTGATGCAGGGGGAGCAGCTGCTGCTGCTGCTTGTGCTGCAGCAGCAGAGGCAGCACGACCCCCGGGAAGGCTCGGGAGTCGGACATTGACTGACCAGGGAAGCAGCAAACGTGCACACAGTCCCCAAGGGACACCGCAGCAGCAGCAGCTGATGCATGCAGCGCAGACACCACAGACAAGATCAGCCGCAGCAGCACACAAGCTGCAGCGGCAGGCAGACCCTCAAGCACACAGTGTGATAAGACACTTTGGCGCAGAAGAGACAGCGCGTATGTCCCGTTTGCAACGCTGCTGCAAGTCCTGCTGCTGCTGCTCTTGCTGTCACAGTTGCTGTCGCTGCTGCTGGAGACTCTGTCCGCACCAGAGCAATGCCCATGCGGGTTTGGCCAGGGCCCGCCTGCAGTGGGCAGGCGGCATTCATGGGCAAGTAAAGCTGCGTGTGGGGCCCCCTGCAGTCGCTGCTTGGGTGTACGTACACCCCAGTGGCTGGCCTGTGAGTGGGATGTAGGGATGGGGTGTCTCTGGAGCTTGGTGAGGGGCCCCAGCAGCTGTTGCTGCTTGTGGGCATTGCGCACACAAAACACACAAAGCCTGATGCTGCTGCTGGCTTCCTGCCCCTGTGGGCCCCCCACCACAGATAAGCAGCAGCTGCTGCTGCAGCTACTGCAGTATATTGCCCCACACAGCCTGCAGTGGTGCCGTCGCCGCAGTGCAGAGAAGGGGGCCCCGCACCCAAAGCATTCCACCACTTCTGAGTCGGACACCCATACTGCCATGGTCCGGAGCCCCTCCAAGGGCTGCAGGCTCAAGGGCCTTGACACCTCCAACCGGAAGACCCTCAGTCTGGCTGCTGGGGGGCGCCTCGGGCCCTTTGCCGGGGGCCCCTCAGGCCCTCTGCAGCTGCTAGAATGAGATATAGCACAGACACCGGCCAGGAGAGGACCGGAAAGCCCGTGAGGTGACCATAGCAGGGCAAGGGCAGGCAAGGAAACGATAGAGGCATGAGACTGCTGCAGAAGTGGGACACGCCAGGCTGCTGGCGATGAGACAGTTGCGGCCGCGGCTTTACCGCCGTCCGCGTTGCTAGCAATCGCCGTTGCAGCTCTACTCTTTGTCCATACACTACTTTCAAATTTACAATTGAAATGAAGGAGATGCAGGTCTACAAATGGAGACAGTCAGGATGCGCTAGTACCCCGGGGCCCCCGAGGGACTCCTCAGAGATCTCGAGAGTCGGTCACGGGGCCCCCGCTTGTGAGGCTAGAAACAGCCTCAGTGAAGTCTACGTCGGCGCACGCATGCATGTTATCATTTTTGCTCATTTTTACCCTTCTTAGTTCTTATTAAACCTGAGTTTTGTTATTGACTAATGATTTTCACCCTTGGCTTGCAATAGAAGGAAGCCTGAGATAGGGGGCCCCTGGCGCTGCTCATGTGGCTGCTACTGCCATTGCAGCTGATGTGGCTGGGCGCCCCCACAGTCATTGCTGCGGCAGCGCTTGTTCGTGCTGCTTCTGTGCATTTTTATGCTTTATTATTTGCACTGCTCTTCTTAATCAACTTAATAAACGGGATAAGGTGCAGAGAGCTGTCGTTCTGTTTTTTTCGTCTCTCCCTTGGCCTCTTTCCACACAGGGCAGGACCCCACTGGCGTCTTGGCTGGGTTCTGGTTCTTCTTTCTTTTTGCCTTCTTAGGCGCAAATTTGCCCGAGTTTTGTCTTTATATTTTCCTTCTCTTTTTCCAGTCCAGGAGTCCTCGCTGCTGCCGCCGGGCCCTCAACGGGGCCCCACTTTTGCATTGTATCGAGAAGGGAAGGAAGAGAATACTAGAAGTTTAAGGTTCGGGACTTTTGCTCGCAGAGTCGGCTTCCACTCTAGGAAAGGGAGCCCGTGCACCAACTCGAAGCTGCAGCTGTTTCAAGGGGATCGGAGCCGCAGGCTTCAGGTTCAGGTTTCACGCCTTGGGGTCTGCGGCTTTGGGCTGGTTTGGTGAATATGTTGGCTTTATTGGAGACAGCCGCGGGCTTTGCCTTATTCCGCGTGCGGAATGGGAGCCTGTTGGAGGTGAAGGACGTGGAGAGCCTGCAGGAGGCGTTCAACTCCGCCGAAAAGACGAAAAACATTATAGAGCTGCACGCGTTTTCTCGCTTCAAAGACAACAAGCAAGCCACAGAAGAAACGCTAGCTCTGATAGATGGGAACATGGGCAAGGGCCTCCGACGCTTTCTGAAGAAGCAACTGGCTGCAGAGGGTGAGGCGGCCAAGCTGTTGGTTGCCGATAAAAATCTAGGGTCTGCAATCAAAAGCAAATTCAACGCGGAAATTTTATTCTCGCCTCAGACTCATGAAATACTAAGAGGCATCAGACAGCATATCGCGGAGTTGCTTGATGGCATCGACGAGAAAGGTAACTTGAAGTTTTGATGGGATCTAAACGAGCCAGTTCATCTTTTTGGCTTCTATAAAGTGTGCAGTGGTATATCCTCTCATGGGATCCGCAGCTGGTAGAGCCTGCTTTGTATTTTTTGTCTTTTTTACCCCGCGATGGAAGTTAGAACTTAAGCTTCAGGACAGAGGGCTTGGACATTAAACGAGAGCATATACAATAGCACATGCAGCTCACATGCGGCTCACTTCTTCCGTTATTTAATGTTGAAATTTTCGGGGGTATTGTCTGCAGATCGTCAGCAAATGGCTATGTCGTTATCGCATTCGTTAAATCGGTTCAAGCTTCGATTCAGTCCTGAGAAGTTAGACACCATGATCATCCAGGCTGTTGGTAAGCTGCTCCCCACCTCCGTATTGCTGACATTTTGGCTTTTCTGGCCCCCTCTTGTGTAATTTTTCATTTCGGCAGTGCGTTTGCCTCTGTATACGTTCCTCCTGGCAGTTCTCACCTTTGGTTTTTGTTGTATATTCTCGTTACCTTGGAATGCTTCCTCTCCGTCTCCCTGTCTGCTCTTCTACCTCTGTGTGACTTTCGCTTTGCTTTTGTAATGCCCGTCTGTTTCCGACCACGACTTTCGGTCCTACGATTTCTCACTTGCTCTCCTCACTCCGCGCTTTGTTTGCTGGTTCCCCACGATCTCCGTCGACTCCCGTCCTTTCATGTCGTGCCCTCCCATCACTTTTGCCGCTGGCCGTCTTTGCCGCATGTTAAGTCCTGTTTTGGCTATATTTTTTCTGCGGACGATTTGTCCTTTAACACGCCGTTTGTCCAATTTGCATTTCTACCGAGTTCTGCTGGTTTTCTTTATGAACAGCACATATGTACAATGTTTTGTTGTGGTTCTAAGCTCTCCTTGATGACATGGACCGTGAGTTGAATAACTTCGCGATGCGGTTGAAGGAGTGGTATGGATGGCACTTTCCGGAGCTCTCGAAAATAGTTACTGACAATTTAGTCTACGCAAGAGTCGTACAAAAAATCGGTTTCAGAACCAACGCGAAAAACGCAGATATAGAAGCATTAATACCTGATGAGGTGAGTAGGCCACGACGAGTACACCTCGGAGCTCTTTACTGGGCACCAGACCACTGCATGGCGAGCTCTCAACCAGCAAGTACTGCGCCGTAGCATTCTCCGTGCCTTCTCCTATACCAGTAGTTGCTGTCGAGCGGTTTTTTGCCGCAGTCATTGCATCATTTTGAAGTATCAATTCCATGCGAATTGTACTTGTTCAGCAGTGTATCCATCGGCTGTGTAGCGAATTGAGTTGCGTACTGATATTTCATTGTAGAGATCAACGCATGTGGGTTCTTTCTCTTGCAGATATGCGCGGAGGTGCGCATGAGCGCTGAGACTTCTATGGGCACCGAAATGACAGAAGAGGATCTGCAGCATATCACCTCGTTGGCATGCAGAGTTGAAGAGCTCGTAGAGTACAGAGCGAACCTGGCAGAGTACCTGAAGCTCCGAATGAGAGCAGTAGCTCCGAATCTAACGCATATGGTCAGTATATTGCCCTTTCACAATAACGGATGAGCAGAAACATAGATAACAGCAAAGACAGACGAAGACAAAATGAACGGCATGAGCAGGGATATGCATTGTTGAGAAATAAGTACGTCGACGGTTCGTCGACTTGGTAATCGTTGCGAAGTCGTCGCGTCGATAATTCATCTAGGCTGTAAGACCTCTCTGTGTTTTAGGTGGGTGAGGTGATTGGCGCGCGTCTGATGGCTCACAGCGGCAGTCTGTTGTCACTATCTAAACAGCCTGCGTCCACTATCCAGATCCTAGGTGCCGAAAAGGCTCTTTTCAGGGCCCTGAAGACGAAGTCAAACACCCCCAAATACGGCATCATTTATCATGCAGCATTGGTCGGCCAAGCCACGCCTAAGCTCAAAGGTGAGCAGCCACTAGACGACTGCAGTGACAAGGTTGTTGCCGTTATCGGGTGATGCTTTTCTTTCCTCACCTGTTTTTTTCATTCCGCTGTTGTATCGATTTTATCCCATCACATTTCGTTTCTGGTATGTTTCTTTCCCGGCCTCCTCTTTTGCGAATCGTAACTTCTCTGTCTGGACCGCTATCGTGGTCTGCAGTGTTGTGCTCGCAGCTGCTCACTACTACATTGTATGGTCATCCTTTTTGGCCTTTGATCTTCGTTTTGTTCATTTACAGGGAAGATATCACGAGTTCTGGCGGCAAAACTCTCTCTTTGCGTGCGGGTGGACGCGCTGACAGAGGCCGCAGAAGTAGCTGCAGCAGCAGCGGGAGGCTCGGCAGCAAATGGCAACAGTGCTGCCGCACCGCAAGGTCCCGCGGAGCCGACAGTTGCAATTGCATGCAGACGCTACGTGGAGAACCGCCTTGAGCAGCTGGAACAGCAGCTAGCAGGCAGTGCGTCTCCCCGTACACGTTAGACAGGTTTTATTATTTGCATTTTAGAGTTATAGGTCTACTTCTGAGGTTCGGCGCATGTGTGTGGTGCAGGTGGCCCTAAACCTCCCAGCAAGCCTGCGTTTCAGCGCTATGAGCCACACAGGGAAACCAATGGCGTGTCTAAGAAATATGACGTGTCGACAGATGCAGTCGATACGGCAGCGGTGGGATCAAAGCAAAAGAGGCATGTGAACGGGGATAAAGGCGAGACAGAGACGCAGAAGAAAAAGAAGAAAGTAAAAACGGAGACGGAAGCCTAATCTCAGGGCGCCTTTTGCTGCAAGGGACTCTTTTTTGTGAAGCCTGGCTGGATCAGAGGCCTTAATGAGTCGAAGGAACTCCACCTAATTAATCTGCTGCTGCAGAAGCAAGAGCGGCAGCAGGTGAGCAATGGAAGACGGGTAGCATTAACTCCAGGTGTGAGTCGCCCTTGGTGCTGTCGCGCGACGTCAATACCTATGTTGATGCAGTTCATGTATCTAAGATGGCTTGCAAGGGCCTCACACCGTTTAGGCGTTGATTCAACAATGCTCCAAAAGTGCGGTGCTCGTAAGATTATGGCGGTTTCTGTGTGGATGTTGCATGTGCTGCACTTTCTGGGGCCAGAGACTCCACAAGGCCAAGGCTTTGTGTCGACTACAACTCCGTTCCCATTTGGGTAATCATTGGAGTTGTGGACTTATGGAAACTTCGTTGCGCTATGTAGTTAATCATCGTTAACCGCAAATCAGCATGGGATTCGTCCCTTGTACGTTCTGCATAGCATAGATTTTATTTCCTACAGCAGCAGGACGAAACGCGTACCCGTTGTACACGCAAACGGCTTAGGCAGGCCCGGTGAGGCAGGATGCGTCCTTTCTGTTTAAAATTTAGATAGGGGGCTGAGTC